TAAGTAGCATATACTTCTCCACACATCTTTCCCCATCAATTTTAAAGGGAAGAATGGATATATTTAAAGATTTATTTATTTGAAAGAGTTACACAAAGAGAAGGAGAGGCAGAGAGAGAGAGAGAGAGAGAGAGAGAGAGAGAGAGAGAGATCCTCCATCCTCTGGTTCACACCCCAATTGGCCACAAAGGTGGGAGCTGTGCCAATCCGAAGCCAGGAGCTTCCTCCAAGTCTCCCACACAGATGCAGGGGCCCAAGGACCTGGGGCCATCTTCTACTGCTTTCCCAGGCCATAGCAGAGAAGTGGATCAGAAATGGAGCAGCCGGGACTAGAACTGGCACCCATATGGGATGCCGGCACTACAGGTGGCGGCTTTACCCACTACGCCACATCGCCACCCAGATGGATATATTTAATACTAAGTACACCTTGCTGTACCATTATCACTTACTTTTTTTATAACTTAGTTTGTTCTACTACCAACACTCCACACACACAGACATTCAAAGAAATCTGAATTCTACTGTCCTTCCCAAATATGTATGAGTACAAGTGAGACTGGCTTTGATCACACGAACCACAGAGCCCCAGTATTTATATCAGTACAATAACATTCTAAATGAAATACTTAGAAGGAAATTAAGGGAACACTAAGTATCCTACCTCATCTTAAAACTGTTCTGTTTTCCACAGGCTATGTTAAGTGTTTCAGAATACATGAGTACTGTAGATAAAAGCTGGTTAGGGACACACAAAACAATTTTCATGGGAATTGATTCTGTAGACACACATACTATAGTATAAAACTTTTTTGGAATTATCTTAATTTCATCTCTAAAAATTATTTTTTAGTTTAAAACTGCAAAGAGAGTAGAGAAGGGGGAGGAAAGACAGTGCTTCAAGTTACAAATGTACCCCCAAAACATGAAAATGTCATAAAGTTTTTATGTGACACTACAAAGGATACCTTCTAATCAACAACAAAACAAATCTGCCATTCAGATAACCACAATAAGAATCCCAATGTCTTCACTTCAGAACATTTTTGCCTCAGGTTTCTACTACTGCTAGAAAAACAGGAAACAATAAGATAATATTTTCAGTGATATCATTAACTCCTTTACAAATCTCTAAGGAGATATAATTAAGCATATAGAGCACAAATTTATCACTCAACTCCTGTATCACACGGACAAGACCTAGTCAGGTATGTCATCCCTCATCCTGTTTTTTAACCTATCTGTAAGTAAGCCCAATAGCTTACTTATACTATCTGCGCATCTTAGGCTTTCTGAGCCTTCACACAAAACAAACTGTCCTGGGAATTTAGCTTCACTCTATAGCATTATTTTGATTACTATTTCCAATGGAGAATCTAACCTAAATATAAAACCCAACACAACCCTAACAGTAAACAGTGTTATTAACCTTATTGTAAAAAAAAATGACTTAGTAAATAGCAAAGAATTATAGACTTTTTAAAATTTTGTTTTTTATGAAATATAGGGAGTCAGAGGTAGATATGAGAGAGAGAGAGAAAGAGAGAGAAAGAGAAAGAGAGAGAGAGAGAGAAAGAAAGAGAGAGAGAAAGAGAAAGAGAAAGAGATCTCATCCACGAGTTCACTCCCCACACATCATGAGGCAAAAGCCAGGACTGAGCCAAGACACAGAAAATGAACCTACAACTCAATCAGGGTCTCCTTGTGGTTGGCAGGGATCCAAGTACGGAAGCCATCACCTGCTGCCTCCAAGCGTACATATCAGCAGAAAGCTGGAATCAGGAGCAGAGCTCGGATCCAGGCACTCCAACATGGGATGCAGGTGTCCCAAACTGTGTCTTAACTGGCCCGTAAGCCTGCCCCCCCCACACACACACACAAACTTTTCAACAACCTTTTTAATAAATACTGTTCATGATGGAATTGTAAGGAGTTCTCTATAGTTCCCTTGACTCTGACATTCAGATTTTTCAAGTATTGTTTACTTGTTACTGTCCTCCTGTCTTCTCCCACTAGATTATTAATGTCACACGGGCAAAAATCTTACCTCTATCTTATGTTCCACTGTGTGGCCAGTGTCTAGCACTTAGTACATGCCCAGCATAATCCATTCATGATTAAATGAATAGCTTCCTTCTTTGACCGCCTCCATTTCCCTGCTCCTCACACTCGTTAACTATCATTTAAGGCCAGGGTCAAATTCTACTATTTCCACAAAGATTACCTCCCTGCACCTTCCAATTTCTTTTTTCTTTATACTATCAATTTTGCACTTACCAGCTGTCTCGTAACTGTTCGTCTTGGCATATATATATACCTCTCTTAACATTCTTAACCTTGCTCATTAAGTACATGAAACTGTCCCCAACTCCTGGGATCCACCTCAGCACATGCAAATAGATTACCACTAAAAAACATTTTACTTAACTGCTTTATGTCTGCAGTTAATCCAGAAATTCATTTAATCAAGTTACTATTTTCAACTTTAAAACTGATTCCTCCCTTCCAAATAACTCAAAATAGGCAGTAAAATGGCAGTCTCCCTCTATTTTAAATTTATCTCTGACAATATCAAGTTTTATATTCTCACATAATTTATGCTCATAGTTTATTTTATCCCCCTTTGCCAAGATTAAATTTTTATATAATAAAACAATCTTATCATTTTTGGTGATACCTAATGAGGTTTCCAACTCCAAACAAAGGGTATTTTTCCATCTTTTTTTTTTTTTTGCCTTTCAAGTCAAAATGTATCCCATTTCCTTCTTCAATTATCATACCTCTGGCAAGCTTTTATTTCTTTGTACCTGTCCTCAGTAATCTGTCTTCTATTCTTCTGAGGTACTGTGATTTCCCCATTTATTTGATTAAACTTAACATCCCTCCCCCAACCAGTCTGTAAAGCCTGAGCCTGTCTCTTTAAATTTGGCCAACCTTAGGAATCTCCCTTCACACAAGCCAATCTTTGGCTATCTGGGCTAATGAAATATATAAAAAGGTAACCCACAATACAAGAAAATCAGAAAAAGTTTGACATCTGGCTTTGGAATATATCATATGTAGCTTTGGGGAAAACTGTCTTCATTGTATTTTTTTTTGCTTATGTCAACATTAGCAAGATGTTTTTTACAATGGCAGGTTATGTCCCTCAGTTTTAAAACCTGATGCAATTTAAAAAATAAGCATCAACTCTGCTTTTTAACTTGTTCCTTCAATCTGCTGAAAATCTGTTTTCTGTTTTCCCTGATTTATCCACTACTTTTCTTGACTTTCTGATCCAAATCAATTTATCCCATACAAACTTATTCTTGGATCTAAAGTAACTTTTGCTTTAGAATGCAAAGCATTTTAAAAACACTCAATGTCTACATAACACAGGATACAAAATCATTTTTGTCAGATATTCCAAGAAACTTGGGGTTCTAGGATAAAGCACGGTGGTAATTCTAACAAATTACAGTTAAGATCTTATGATTAGTTGAAAATAGGAAAAACTTTAAACACAACTACGTAAGTGTGCATCAATAAATGAATCCCAAACACTAAAAATTCTATGGAATTTCCCAATATAAGCACTTAGAGAAAACAGCATCAAAACAAACTCACATCAGCCCTGTCATTTCTAATGATCCCAGCTTAAACTGCACTCTCCTCATACCTACTCTTGAATCCTGATCTCAGCCTCACTTCTATTCCTACCAAGCCACAAATAATTTTAGATGTTTAGGAAAAAGAACAAGAACTGAATTGACAGGCTCTCTTTTGCCCCTTTCTCAGTTATTACCATTAAGCTTTTGGACAAAGAGATCCCTAACTCCCAAAGTTCCATGATGATTTTTAATTTACAGGAATTCAAATGCATTCACCAAACTGAAGCAAAGAAAAAGGTCCTCTCAAACTGAAAAGGGAGCCAACAGGGTAACTCCTTGTCTGTTCCTTGCTTCCTCCATAATTACGCATAATCTCAAACACTTACATAAAAGTTAAGTACACTTTTAAGCCAGATCAGCTATTTTACTTGGAGGTTCTGACCTACCAGAGTTAAAACTAAAAATCTGTAAATATCAGTATCACACTTCACACATATCTTTTACATCTGAATGTAGATTTATAGTGTGCTTGAACCTACTGACCAGGGATCTTCAAAAAGTTCATGGAAAATGCTATTATGAAAAACAAGGTGTTTCAAAAAAAATTTGCACCAAAACACTTGTCATTTAATTCCTTTTTCCCCCACAAATGTGCTGAAGTACCCTTGTATTTCCATGTACTCACTAAGGATTGAACATACTCATTTCTAATTCTCTGTGGAACCTTGATAGGTATAAACATTTTACCTAAAAACCAACCCTTGGAAGTTGGTGTTATTTAACCCAGATTATTTACATAATATGCCAAATGTTAACAAAAAAATTTTTTTTAAATAGCAATCTTCCAGTCTTCATACTCAGCGAATCCCACAACTTTCTTTCAAAAAACAAAAACTGTCACAGTGCCTAGTCACATTTTGATCAGAACACCCACCCAAAGCTGATAAACTCTTAGTTTTTCAATTTACTTTACAAGCTGCTACCTTCACCAAACGCAGAACTCCATAAGCCTTAATTAATTACAGCTTCCCGAGCTGGGTCCACCCACCTATGCCATCCTCAAGGAAAAGTAAACAGTTTAAAAAATAGTTAATTTAATTGGTAAGAAGGCTTTTCTTCTCTTGAAAATTTCCCTTCACTGTGAAGCTCTCTTTTCTTGATGGAGTTGAAACAGTACAAATCCTTTAAGGAAACACTTGTCACCTACGTGTACCTTCAATCAGTGCCATACAGTGAATGGCAGAAAGCAGCATTTTTCTGACAGTCCCAGTTCCCCAAATAGTCACAAGGTCTTTCATGGATGGTAAATCAATCTCTCTCTCTCTCTCTCTCTCTCTCTCTCTCTCTCTCTCTCTCTCACACACACACACACACACACACACACGGAAGGCAAAGAAGACAGAAACATACCTGGTCATTCTCTGAACAGGTTGGATAGGTTCGGTACGAGCAGAGTATTTACCTATAATCTTTCAAAGCCAAGTGGCAGCCAGGCCCCTGGGTAACTAAGAACTTCACCGTGTTTTTAAAACCCCGCATCTTAACTCACTTCCCCTTAGTTCAAGGGGCCGGCACAGCAAACCTCACAGCAAACGAGGTTATGCAACAGGTTTTTCCTCTACCTGACTCCTCATGGGCTAATCAGGTGTGCTTTCTCCAAACAACCAGCGACACCGGGGACTTGAACCCGCCCAGGAGCCTCGCAGTGCACTGGAATAAGCCCCTTGAGGGGTTTTGCAGTGTCCATTCATTTTAAGATCGACTTGCAATCCGCCGCCCCCGGACCCCCAAGGCTCATTACCGCTTTTCTTGGGAAAATAAACCCAGCACCTGAAAACGTAGTTTTGCATATAGATTTTCCCCCACTGTAGTGTTTTATTGCCTGGAACTACACTTGATACACGGATCCTCGGGGGCCTCCCTGGGCTATTTTAATTTCTCACGTTTTACAGCAGTGGTAAAGAAATCACCGGCACGCCGGGCCCCCTCAACACCACGACCCGAGCCCCAGGATGAAAACTGAGGTCTGGGGGTGGCGGGGAGGTGGGGGGGGGGGTCGCTTGGCTTCATTTAAGAAAGCACGGTCACCACCCAGGTGGCCTCGCTGCCTGCACCACCAGCGCGTTTGGGATAATGGGAACAGTCAGGCCGGGGCCCCACTTGGCAGGCGTGTTGTTTAACAGTCGCGCCTGGAAGTGAGCAGCTTCGCCCGCGAAGGTGCCGCGAGTCCCGCCGCCGTCGCTGCTGCTCCGCGGGGTCGGCTCGAGCCGAGCCCGCCGCGCCGGGGACGCACGGAGCGCCCCCGCGCCTGCCCGCACGCCCCTCTTCCCGCTGGCGCTGGCCCCCCCCAGCAAGGCCTACACCCCCGCGTCAGACACTCGTGCGGCTCCGGGCCGCGGTCGCCCCCACCGGGACGCCCGGGCAGGCAGAGCCCGCGGCGCCCGGCACAGCGAGTCGGGGCGCGCCGCCGAGCGTCCATGCTGCCCTGCCGGCCGGTCCGAGCCCCGCACCCTCCCGTCCGCACGCCCCGCCGAGGCCACTTACTTCTGGGGCCGCCGGCCTCCCGACTCCCCTCTGAGAGAACCGAGCGTTGTCACCGCGTCTCCCCTCGGGCCCCCTCGCCTCCCGGGCTCGCGAGGCGCCGCCGCGGAGCGGGGAGGGCGGCTGCGGGGCCGCTCGCGACCCGTCCCGTCCGTCGCTCTGTCCGGCTCCTCGGCTCTCACCACAGAGGCTTCTCCTCCTCGGAGGGGCGGGTGGGGGCGGGAGACTCAGCAGCGCGGACACGTATGCCTCTGTTCTTTTCTATTGATCTTACAGACAACTAATCACTATGTTTTCACGAAAAGGACTCTGGCGCGAGGGGTGAGGATGTTGGGGAGTGAAAAGTTGGGTATGGGAAAGCGCGCGGGGAGAACGGCGGGGGGAAGGGAAGGTGCTAATAATCCTTTAAAAATTGGCGAAAGCCCCCCAAACAGGGATACACAGAAAGAGGGGGAAAGGCGGGGGGGTGGGGTGGGGGGTTGGGGAAAGAGAAAGAGTCGCTGGTCAGGAAACTTCAAGCGCGGATGAGGTCATTGGTTTAAAAATAAAGAGATGGCGTCACTTGAAACCAATCCCAGTGAATGAACTCAGCGGAGCCCCGGGGAAAGGAGGAGACAGGCGAGGGCAGGGCGGTGGGCGCCGGGCGGGGCCGCGCGCTCGCCCGCCAGCCCATCCCGCGGCCGCCCGGTCCGGGAGCGCGGCTCCGCGCCTCGTTTCGGCAGCTCGGGGAGGGGTCGGGTCACGTTCCCGGCCAGACCTTGGGCCGCTCGGAGGCAGGTTCCGCGGGCGCTGCGGGGAGGAGCCGGCGCTGGCCGAGGAGGCGGCCCGCAGCCTCGTCCTCCTCCTCCGCCTCCCCCCGTCCCGCAGGCTCGCGGCCACCGACGTCCCGGCCGCGCGCGCCGCAGTCGGTATTTGAGGGTTCCCCTCACCCAGCCAGATTCAGCGCCTCTTGCTCCTCCTTGGGCTGCTTCCTGCTGCCCGGGCAATGTAAAGACACGCAAACAAGGACTGAAAGGAATTGCAATCTCTCTTTAAAAGCCTCCGGAATCCAAATGGCAGGAAAGAGAAATTGCAGGTACTTGAAGTAAAATCACTCAAGGGTTGTCAGGCATTCAGCTCGTCCTAGGCATACCGTCCACCCCCAACCCCCCCCCCCCCCCCCCCACCGCGCCCCATGAATGTTCCTACGTTTATTTGGGTTGTATTTACTAATATAAGTACAAGCAGCCTAGCTGTCGCTTTCAACATTAGGCAAGGGCAGAATTAGCTTTAAATCACTGCCACTTGTGAGGTGCAAGACCCTCGGCGGTCGAACTCCACGCACCTGAAGCTTGTTAATGTTTTGTTTAAAGTCACTGAAATAGCTTTGTTGTGAGACTTTGCGCACTTCGGAAAGAGCCCTGAGATGGTGACAAAGTAGGACTAGGAGTCACTGAATAGGACAATCGGAGCTTTATTCCAGGGTTCTTTGAGCATCTGAGCGTGAAGCTGCCGCCACTGAGCAGTCCTCCCGTGGATATCACATAACAAAGATGTGATTAATGACGGAAAAGCACCGTGGCGGGGGGGGGGGGGGGGTGGACAAGATCGATGGGTAGGAATCATCGCTCTTAAAGCATTGCACTTGCCATGCAGCAGACCTGGGACGTTGGCCCTTAAAATCGCTGTTTGTGCTGGGTATTCCACGTGGACGCTGACTCGGGGACGTTTTCATTAATCGGGGAAAGGACTAAGCAGGTTTTGGCGGGGGTTGGAAAGAAGCTACATCTCTGTTTACTACTTAAATTCCGCAACTAAAGTGCATTCCTTAGAATTGATCATGATATAAAGTTAGGGTCATGGAGTAAGCCTCTGGGATAATGAGGTAAGTCTGTCTTTTAGGGGGGGACAGTGGGTGGGGAGGGAGACAGCTTTTGAAGGTGGGAGAGAGCCCAGCCCTTCAGGCAATAGGCAAGGCCTGAAGGCCACAGAGGAAAACCAACCTCCAGCCTCTGACCCTTTGAAGACGCCTGTGGAGGGGAAGCGATCTCTCCCGCTGCTCCGGGTCCTCTGGTGGCCAGGAGGTGGTACTGCAGCATCTTTAGGGTTATCCGTACTCGGGACACAACTAAAAACATAGACCTATCGTTTTTAGAACTGTTTGGATGGAAAGGATCTACATCTCAAATCCACTTATTTGAAGATGTTGCATTTTTTCCCAATTTCTTTGAAAGAGAGAGAGATCTCCTATTCACTAGTTCACTCCTCAATTGCCCACAATAGCTGGGACTGGTTCAAGCCAAAACTGAGAACCTAGAACTCAAGCCAGGTCTCCCATATGGGTGGCAGGCACCCAACCACTTGAATCATTACTTGCTACCTCCCAGGGTGCATATTAGCAGGGAGCTGGAACTCAAACCTTGCACTCCAATATGGAACGTAGTGTCCCAGATAGCATTTAACCACTGTGCCAAACAACTGTTCCAAAATGTTGGGATTTTGAGAGACGTGGAAGGCATGGATCTTGCCTGAATGGAAGACTCAAATGAATCTATGGTAGAATATACCCTTTATGGGGCCGGCGCTGTGGCATAGCAGGTTAGGCCGTTGCCTACAATGCCAGCATTCCATATGGGCGCCAGTTCGAGCCCTGACTGGTCCACTTCTTATCCGGTTCCTGCAAGTGCAACTAGGAAAGCAGCAGAACCCTTTACAAACATTCCTTTAAGTGACAGTCTTCCTTCGCTGCCCCTTCTTCACAGATACAATTCAGCTGGAATGTTTTCCATGGGTGTGGTATTATGGAAGCCTCCCCTGTGTGTGTAGTCTAATTAGAGAAATGAGACATGGTTTAAAATTCATTAAAAGCCAACACTTCAGTGGCATACAATATGTGCTAAAAGAGTCACGAGGAACAATGTAGACTGGGACTATGAGGAAAGACATCTTACGAAGAGCTTGTAGTGCCCTCCTCATCCCCCCCACCTCCACCCCGCTTTGAAGGACAGTAAGATTTAGCTTGCGAGGCAAGCATCTGGCTCAGCGGTTGCGATGCCTCTTGGAACAACACATCCCATGATAGAGTGTCGGTTCTACACCCAGTTCCTTCATGCTAGTGCACATCCTGGGAGGCAGCAGGGGATGGCTCAAGCACTTGAGTCCCCGCCACCCATGTAGAAGACCTAGATTGTGTCCTGGGCTCCTTGCTTTGGCCCATCAGAGGGATGATCTTTGTCGCCTCTGTCTCTCTGCCTTTCAAATAAATAAAAATAGTTTAAAAATATTTAGTTTGTGGTGAAGGGGTCAGTGGATGGAACTATTCTCAAAGGGGAAAAGCATGAACAAAGACAGGATGAAAGAAACAAGGTGCGCTCAGGTGAGAGACAGGTAGACATCTGCAGTGGTAGTAGAGAGGAGGGCTTAGCGGTTAGAAGCAAAGTTAAATTTAAGACATTGAGAGACTCACTAGGAAGGTACTTGAATAAATAGCTTGTTACTAGTCAAGCTGGTTAAGGAGAAAACATTGAATGAGTTTACTGAAGAGTATATTTCTCCTTGTTCTACTTTAAAAAAAAAAAACCCTCTACACATGCTAACAACTGTGGAAACAGAAATTAAAATTCAATACCTGGGGGACATGTTTAACTTACCATTAAGATGTCCTGTTTGAAGGTCATAGTCGAGCTTAAACCAGCTTTCCACCACATTTAGAGTGATGACTGAGGGCTGGATTCCCCAAGGCAGGTGAACAGCTGATATACTTAGGGCACCAGCAAAGCAAAGGGTCCCAGACCTGAAAACAAGATAATCTAGAAACAAGTCACAAGGGGCTTCACAAAGTTTGAGAGGAAATAGAATGAAAAGATAATGAGAATTTTCCATAAACTTTTCAAATTACTCATTTGAGAGGCAGAGAGATACAGGTAGAGAAAACCATCAGCTGGTTCTCTCCTCCCAAATGCCCTCAACAGTCAGAGCTGGGCCTGGGGCCAAGCCAGGAGCCAACAAATCTGTTCCAGGTCTCCCATGTCAGTGGCAGGAACCCAATTACTTGAGCTATAACCACTGACTCCCAGGGTCTGTACTGGGGAGAAGTTAGAGTCAGGAGCCAGAATTGGGAATTGAATCCTGGCAGTCTGATATGAGATCCAGGCGCCCTAACAGCTAGGCTAAATGCCTTCTCCCCCATGAACTTTTCTTTTCTTTTTCTTTTTTTTTTTTTTTTTTTTTTTTTTTTTTGACAGGCAGAGTGGACAGTGAGAGAGAAAGGTCTTCCTTTGCCGTTGGTTCACCCTCCAATGGCCGCCGCTGCAGCCGGCGCACCGCGCTGATCCTATGGCAGGAGCCAGGAGCCAGGTGCTTCTCCTGGTCTCCCATGGGGTGCAGGGCCCAAGCACCTGGGCCATCCTCCACTGCACTCCCTGGCCACAGCAGAGAGCTGGCCTGGAAGAGGGGCAACGGGACAGAATCCGGTGCCCCAACCGGGACTAGAACCCGGTATGCCGGCGCCGCTAGGCGGAGGATTAGCCTAGTGAGCCACGGCGCCGGCCCTCCCCATGAACTTTTAAAAACTCTTTATTTGACAGGCAGAATTACAGAGAGAGAAGGTGAGACAGAGTGAGATCTTCCATCTGCATTCACTCTCCAAATGGCCGCAACAGCCAGGGCTGGGGCAGGTTGAAGCCTGGAGCCGGGAGCTTCTTCTAGTTCTCCCATGTGGTTGGCAGGGGCCCAAGGACTTGGGCCATCTTCTGCTGCTTTCCAAA